GGCTCGTTGTACGAGTCTATACAGCTGCCACCGCAAGTGGGGCAGCCATCCCTAATGCATATACAACAACAGCAGCAACAACAACAGCAGCAGCAGCAGCAACCCCATCCGCCGACTAATTATATCTCGATTTTACCGCCCACGATCGCCATACATCCACATCAGCAGGCTATCATTCATCAGCATGCGCCACCACACATACATCCATCGCATGGGCATGGGCATTCTCACCAGCATCATCATGGACCGCCTATTCATATACATCAATTTGTACCCGCAGCTTTTGCTGGCCCCGAATTGGAACCAACGGTGCAAACTGAACAACCGATTTCCTTGTTATCGGGCAGGCCATTGTCGCACATGGATGACATACCGCTGGATATAGGTGGTGGTGTTGCTGGAACGGTACTGCCGACCGGGTTGGGTGTGCTTACATGCACTACGCAGGTGCTGGCGCCGCCTAGTCCGGAGGTGCTGGTGGTGGAGAAGAAATTCTGCAGTGCCATGAAGACGCAAGCTACACAAACGGAGGTGCGAAAGGACGCATTCGCGCAAGTCTTGGCGCTAAGTCCACGTACAATGCATAAGGTACGTAGGAGGAAGAGAAAGGGTCACTTACACGTCACGTCAGTTTAGGAGCTTCAACTCACGCCTTTATTACAGGTCAAAGTGGTCTCACAAGGCGCGCAGACGAATGGACTGTTGAATGGCAAGAAACTTACAAAGAGTCTGTCAGAAATGCCGAACGGACAAGCATTACAGAGCGCAGAGGAGCGTCATATGAGGTATGCCAAGTGCATGCTCTCCGATCACAACTCGCATATTTCCCAAATCCCTCGTTTGTTCTAACTTTTCCTCTGGCTCTTTGCAGAAACTTCATCGACCACGGCGTCGTCTATCGCACGCAGTCAGAGGAGCCGCCAAAGTCACCACTAGATCTCGACGATCCAAACAACATAAACTACTATGAACCACCGCCGCCGTCGCAACTGCCCTCCGAGGAGAGCACGCCCTTCATCCCGAAAGACGCAATCGCCTTCGACTACGAAAGCAATAGTTTGCCACGGCGCGCTTGCACATTCCATCGAGAAAGCAGTTTTAGCTCGAATAGTCTGCCGCGTCGTGAGCCGCTACATGCGCACGATATTTGCAAGCACATTACCGAGTGTCCAGAGCTGATAGGCGACATCAATGGCAATGGCAACAGCGGTGCTGGACTGCTTGACTTTTCGAAGCCACATTTTCTGCCACCGCACAGCGAGTACTGTAAGAATGCCGATGAGCCGCTAACGTCCACCTCCACACTGACGGCAGAGCCTAGCGTCGCCGCCGAACCTGCCGATTTGCATAGACGCAAGTCAATGGTGGCCACGCTACCGCCACTAGATGCCGACATCACACCTACGCCCTTCAGACGCGACGACATACGTCGCCAATCGATGCCCATCTTTGTGAAGCAGGAGAAACTAATTGACGGTTTTGGGCCGCGCACATCCTTCCGCTCCAAGGCAAAACCAAAAACAGTGATAGCCGGTGGTGATATCTTCGATGAGAAGGAGATATTTATAGACTTCAAGCCGCATGTTTCCACAAAGTCGATGGCGCAGCAACAAGTGGCGCCAACTAAATATCGGCCTACATATAAGCTACCAACACAGCCATCGGCGCCTTCAATGGATGGTGCGCAACAAAAATCGGTAGATGAATGCGAAAATTGCCGCGCACTGCAGGCTGCCGATTCACGTTCCTCTGTAAGTGAAGATGACTACGAAGATGAGGTTGAAGGCGAGCAGCAGCCAGCCGTTATGGAGGCAGATGAAGTGGAGCAGGAGGAAAGCGATCAACACGATCCATTATACGAAAATGTGCCCAGCGTACACAAGCCTACAAGCGTACCCAGTATAGCGGAACGGCGTGCGAGTATGCGCAAACGTTCAGTGAGTTTAGACGAGCAAAATGTGGCGCAACAGAAAGCGGTTGATGTGTCGGCGCCACCCAGTCCCTGCCGCGAGGAGCTATTATTTGCAAATGCGTCCACTTATCCTTCCTCGGACTCGCTGGCAAACGATCTTACGCGTGATCACTCGGATGGCATTTGGAATGAGTCGCAAGTGACTGTCTTGACGGCCGAACAGAAGGAGGGCTCCGAGACCTCGTATACCTCGAATATGCTGCTAACACCATCAACGAGGCGGAAAAATCTGCTGCTGCAACATCAACAGCGCAGCTCTGTGGACACAGACGCGCTCGATTTGGAGGATACGCAAGTCGATTTGGTGAGTTTTACCGATATCACACACGAAGCCAAATTTTTGAAGTGAAACTTCTAGCCGACTTCGGACAAGGATATAGATAGATAGAGAGATAAAGATAGAGAAAGAGAAAGAGGAAGATATGGAGGTTAATAAATAGATAGAGTTATAGATAGAGAAAGGGAAAAAGATAAGGATAGAGGTACAAATACAGATATAGATGCAGACAGAGGTAGAGATAGAGACAGAGATAGAGGTAGAGATAGAGATAGAGATAGAGATAGAGATAGAGATAGAAATAGAGATAGAGATAGAGATAGAGATAGAG